TGCCATTGCTGAGCTGTCACGGTCCAGAATGTATGAGCTATGCGGCCTCCGGCCATGATGTAGTGTTACCCAATGTACGTTGGTGCTGACTGTGAATGACTGCAGGTCTCTCCCAGAATCGGTTACATGCCTTCCCAACCACCGCCATGTTTTGTAAAATGAAGGAAATGAATGTTGCAATGGCCATGGTATACGCCCGTCGACGTGGTAATAGATTGAGTGAGTCATGTGATGGAGGAAGGGAGAGTGGCCACACATCCGCTGAACTTGCGCTCGAGCTCCCAAGCCCGCACGCCCTCGCTTGGGGGTTCCAAATCATCTCCCGGCGTTGGTGCTGTCTGCGTGTGGCTGCAGATCCTTCGGAATCGGTCGTACGCCTTCCAGCCGTCGTCAGCTGTCGAAAATGAAGGACATGAATGTTGCAATGGCAGTGGTACCCGCCCGCAGGCATCATCACCATCATCATCATCATCGTCATCGTCATCATCGTCAACATCGTCATCATCACCATCTTCGTCATCATCATCATCATCATCAACATCATCATCATATTCCTTTTCCGCCCTCCTCCCCATCCCCCTCCTCCTCCTTTTCACTCCACCCTCCACCCTCCACCCTCCTTTCTCCTCCCTCCTCCTCCTCCTCCTCCTCCTCGTCCCCCTCATCTCTCTTCCGTCCTCCCACGGAGGAGAGAGGAAGGGGAGGAGGAGAAGGGGAGGAGGAGGAGGAGGAGGAGGAGGAGGAGGAGGAGGAGGAGGAGGAGGAGGACGAAGAGGAGGAGGAGGAGGAGGAGGAGGAGGAGGAGGAGAAAGAGGAGGAGGAGGGAGGAGGAGGAGGAGGAGGAGGATGTGGAGCAATCGTCCCGCGCCCGACCCCTAGGGCGCCGCGGAGCACGCTGATGGAAAACCGAGCGCAGACCTTCAGCGAGGCGCTTCGCAGGGGGGGGGCAGGAGGAGAGGGACGGGGATGAGGGGGGAAGGATGGAATGATCAGGCGATCGCAAACATGGATTAAGGGGGCGTGGATTAGCGACCGGACCCGCTCCCATGGGAAAGCGCAGATTTCCGCCGCCGAGCGAGGCGTCGCCGGCCGCATTGTGGGGAGGGCACCTCCCCCGATCGATGGATTTGGCGACCGCGCCCTACATCCATGGATCGCTAATCCATGTTTGCGCGCCTTCGAACTACAGTGCCGTTTTTCCCCACATGTTTCGTGGGGTTATGGATTTCTTCCCTGCCGCGTCCCACCCGCGACGCTCACTCACTAACTCACTCACCTCCCTCGTCCCCTCTTCCCTCGTCTCCTCTCCTCATCCACACGCGTCGCACCCGCGGCTCTCACCTCGCCTCCCTCCTTGCCCCCTCTCCTTCTCAAGCAGCACAGCATAACACAGCGCAGCGCAGCACAGCACAGCACAGGCGGCGTCTATGCGGGCCATGGCGCAGGGAGTGGCAGGTGTGGCACTTTCTCGACCTCGTAGGGGGGTGCGCAGGGGGTGGTTTCCGAGCGCGGCATCTATGCGGGCCATGGCGCAGGGCGTGGCAAGTGTGGCACTTTCTCGATCTCGTAGGGGGTACGCTGGGGGTGGTCTCCGAACGCGGCGTCTGTGCGGGCCATGGCGCAGGGCGTGGCATTGTGGCACTTTCTCGACTTCGTAGGGGGTGCGCAGGGGGTGGTCTCCGAGCGCGGCGTCTACGCGGGCCATGGCGCAGGGCGTGGCAGGTGTGGCACTTTCTCGATCTCGTAGGGGGTGCGCAGGGGGTGGTCTCCGAGCGCGGCGTCTGTGCGGGCCATGGCGCAGGGCGTGGCAGCTGTGGCACTTCCTCGACCTGTAGGGGGTGCGCAGGGGGTGGTCTCCGAGCGCGGCGTCTATGCGGGCCATGGCGCAGGGCGTGGCAGGTGTGGCACTTTCTCGACCTCGTAGAGGGGTGCGCAGGGGGTGGTCTCCGAGCGCGGCGTCTATGCGGGCCATGGCGCAGGGCGTGGCATGTGTGGCACTTTCTCGACCTCGTAGGGGGTGCGCAAGGGGGTGGTCTCCGAGCGCGGCGTCTATGCGGGCCATGGCGCAGGGCGTGGCAGGTGTGGCACTTTCTCGACTCGTAGGGGGTGCGCAGGGGGTGGTCTCCGAGCGCGGCGTCTATGCGGGCCATGGCGCAGGGCGTGGCAGGTGTGGCACTTTCTCGACCTCGTAGAGGGGTGCGCAGGGGGTGGTCTCCGAGCGCGGCGTCTATGCGGGCCATGGCGCAGGGCGTGGCATGTGTGGCACTTTCTCGACCTCGTAGGGGGTGCGCATGCGGGGGGTGGTCTCCGAGCGCGGCGTCTATGCGGGCCATGGCGCAGGGCGTGGCAGGTGTGGCACTTTCTCGACTCGTAGGGGGTGCGCGACGCAGGGGGTGGTCTCGACGCGCGGCGTCTAGCGGGCCATGGCGCAGGGCGTGGCAGGTCTCGGACCCCGTAGGGGGGTGCGCAGGGGGGTGTTCTCCGCGCGCGGCGTCTGTCGGGCCATGGCGCAGGGCGCAGGTGTCGGCATTTCTCGATCTCGTAGGGGGGTGCGCAGGGGGGGTGGTCTCCGAGCGCGGCGTTCTATGCGGGCCATGGCGCAGGCGTGGCAGGTGTGGGCACTTTCTCGGTAGGGGTCGTGCGCAGGGGGTGGTCTCGAGCGCGGCGTCTATGCGGGCGGCGCAGGGCTTGGCAGGTGTGGCAGAGCCGGCTCCGAGCGCGGCGTCTATGCGGGCCATGGCGCAGGGCGTGGCAGGTGTGGCACTTTCTCACCTCGTAGGGGGTGCGCAGGGGGTGGTCTCCGAGCGCGGCGTCTATGCGGGCCATGGCGCAGGGCGTGGCAGGTGTGGCACTTTCTCACCCCGTAGGGGGTGCGCAGGGGGTGGTCTCCGAGCGCGGCGTCTATGCGGGCCATGGCGCAGGGCGTGGCAGGTGTGGCACTTTCTCGACCTCGTAGGGGGTGCGCAGGGGGTGGTCTCCGAGCGCGGCGTCTATGCGGGCCATGGCGCAGGGCGTGGCAGGTGCGGCACTTTCTCGACCTCGTAGGGGGTGCGCAGGGGGTGGTCTCCGAGCGCGGCGTCTAATGCGGGCCATGGCGCAGGGCGTGGCAGGTGGGCTTTCTCGACCTCGTAGGGGGTGCGCAGGGGGTGGTTTCCGAGCGCGGCGTCTATGCGGGCCATGGCGCAGGGCTGGGCAGGTGTGGCACTTCTCGATCTCGTAGGGGGTGCGCAGGGGGTGGTCTCCGAGCGCGGCGTTCTATGCGGGCCATGGCGCAGGGCGTGCGGAGGCATGGCACTTTCTCGATCTCGTAGGGGTGCCGCAGGGGTGGTTGCACGCGGGTCTGTGGCGGGCCATGGCGCAGGGGCGGCAGGTGTGGCACTTTCTCACCTCGTAGGGGGGTGCGCTGGGGGTGGTCTTCCGAGCGCGGCGTCTATGCGGGCCATGGCGCAGGGCGTGGCAGGTGTGGCACTTTCTCGATCTCGTAGGGGGTGCGCAGGGGGTGGTCTCCGCGCGCGGCGGCGGGCCATGGCGCAGGGCGGCAGGTGTGGCACTTTCTCGACTCGTAGGGGGTGCGCAGGGGGTGGTCTCCGAGCGCGGCGTCTATGCGGGCCATGGCGCAGGGCGCGCAGGGCGCGGCAGGTGTGGCACTTCTCGACCTCGTAGGGGGTGCGCTGGGGGTGGTCCCCGCGCGGCGTCTATGCGGGCCATGGCGCAGGGCGTGGCAGGTGTGGCACTTTCTCGACCTCGTAGGGGGTGCGCAGGGGGTGGTCTCCGAGCGCGGCGTCTATGCGGGCCATGGCGCAGGGCGTGGCAGGTGTGGCACTTTCTCGACCTCGTAGGGGGTGCGCAGGGGGTGGTCGCGCGCGGCGGGCCATGGCGCAGGGCGTTGTGGCACTTTCTCGATCGTAGGGGGTGCGCAGGGGTGGTCTCCGAGCGCGGCGTCTATGCGGGCCATGGCGCAGGGCGTGGCAGGTGTGGCACTTTCTCGACCTCGTAGGGGGTGCGCAGGGGGTGGTCTCCGAGCGCGGCGTCTATGCGGGCCATGGCGCAGGGCGTGGCAGGTGTGGCACTTTCTCGACCTCGTAGGGGGTGCGCAGGGGGTGGTCTCCGAGCGCGGCGTCTATGCGGGCCATGGCGCAGGGCGTGGCAGGTGTGGCACTTTCTCGACCCCGTAGGGGGGTGCGCAGGGGGTGGTCTCCGAGCGCGGCGTCTGTGCGGGCCATGGCGCAGGGCGTGGCAGGTGTGGCACTTTCTCGACCTCGTAGGGGGTGCGCAGGGGGTGGTTTCCGAGCGCGGCGTCTGTGCGGGCCATGGCGCAGGGCGTGGCAGGTGTGGCACTTTCTCGACCTCGTAGGGGGTGCGCAGGGGGTGGTTTCCGAGCGCGGCGTCTGTGCGGGCCATGGCGCAGGGCTTGGTAGGCACGGCATATTCTCGACACCACTGGGGGTGCGCAGGGAATGGTCCCCGAGCGGGGCGTTTATGCGGGCCATGGCGCAGGGCGTGGCAGGTGCGGCATATTCTCGACACCACAGGGGGTGCGCAGGGGGTGGTCCTCGAACGCGGCGTCTATGCGGGCCACGGCGCAGAACGCGGCCGCAGCAACATTTCCTCCACAGCAGGACTGTAAACACTCTGGCTCGAATTGAACGCACGACACGTTTTGGCTTCCGCGCCGCGCCGCCCCGGTCTCTGCGCTGGTGTGGCGCAGATTTCCTTTAACGGGATGCCTCCCAAGTGTGCTATCGCCGCGCTGCCGCTTCCGTGCTTGCGCCGGTCGTCCAGGTCACCGCGCTCGCAAAGTGTGGCTGGCGCGGCGCTTCTCCTCTTCCACATCTCCTCTTGAGTGGCGTCACCAACGGTATCGGCGGGGCAACTGCCACCAACATCATTCTCACATGCTTCACTTCAGCTATCATCACTCCAGCCGTAATATAAGTATGTGGGGGTCCTCGATAGCGTAATGTATCCATGTTCCGCGTGCGGATCATGTATTAAACATGCAGGGAAGTAGTACTAAATTAGTGATGCGTTCATGCATATATTTATTCATACATGAATCATGTATAAACAATTCTTCTCTTATTTTTTTTTTTTTATATATATATATATATATAAAAACAAATGTCTTAAAAACTGTCCTGTAAGGAGGAGGGAGGAGCAGGGATGAGGAGGAAGGGGGATGAGGAGAGACCATCGAGGATCGAGCTTTCGCTACGCTGTTGGCCCTTCTGGGGGTTCGTGCCGAGGCCTTCCACTCTGGGGGGTCCACGGAAACTCCCGAAGACCCCCCGCCCCCCACGAGATCCGCAGGGGATCTCCCCAGAAAAACAGCGGGTGAACGAGGGGAAGGAGGACGCAGGCGAGGAGGAGGAGGAGCAGGATCAGGAGCAGGAGGTTCAGTGTAAACCAATGACCCATCAACGATATTTCAACAGACCCTCCCTCCAAGTTCCTTCTTCACAGGCCCCTACAATGCAAACTCACTGAGGGAAGTACCTCGTTGGAAGAGAAGCGTTTGCAAATCCTGAACTGTGCCAGAGCACCGTTCCTGGGATTTCAACGCCGCGAATCACCGAATTGAGGAAGAGGGCGAAGGCTGAGCTGGTATCTGCGCCACTCGCGCGACGCAGCGTGGTGTCCCAGTTCTGCCGAGGAAGCAGGCTGGCCTCCCCATCCCGCCCCATCCCCTGCCATCCCTCGGCGGCAAGCCCGGGGGGTAATTGAGAAGGGGCGGGCCTTCTCAGAAGCCTGGGAAGGCCTCGGGCCCTTTGAGAAGTTGTCCAAGCCTTCCCCGAAGACACGGAAAACTCCTCAGAGGGCCGGAGGGTCTGCGAAGCCCCCCGCCGCCTCCCGAGAAGGCCTCATCCCTCTCACGTCCCCCCTCGCTCTCCGCCGATCCCCGTCTGGAGGGATCCTCCGATTCTGATGTGTTTTCTCGGGCCTTGCGTTCCTGACTTTGGGTCGCTCCACAGTAGATTCCTCCGACGGCAGGACACCGCATCATGATCTCATCGGAGTACACGTGCCTGCCTGTCGACGTCCAACGCTGGGGATGAGGCCAGGATGCTAGGACGCCAAAATGCCAGGAAGCCAGGATGCCAGGACACCAGGATGACAGGATGCCAGGCGGCCACGAGGTCAGGAGGCGTCTGCAACATGTGCGGCCTGTGGGGTATGCGGGACCTGTGCCACCTGTGGAGCAGTTGGGACCTGTACGACCTGTGGTACCTGTGGGGCATGTGGAATATGTAAGACTGGGGCGACCTTTGGGTGCTGTGGGGCCAGTGCCACCTGTGGGGCGTATGGGACTTGTGAGTCCTGTGAGACTTGTACGACCTGTGGGACCTTTGAGACCTGTGAGGCCTGTGGCACCTGTGCGACCTATGGGGCGTTTGCGACTTGTGGGGCGTGTGCGACTTGTGGCGCTCGTGGGACCTGAGTCGTGTTTTGCTTCCCCCGTACGCCGATGGCCGCCTCGGATTAGTGACAAGAAGTGGAGGCCCCATAGGGAAGGGGCTCCCGCCTGAGACTCCCTCCCCATTAAATCAGGCAAGACTGGAAACGGAGTGGGTGACGGTGATGAGATGATTGCGACGATGCTGAAGCGACGATGTGGTGCATGGTGTTGATGATGATGATGCTGATGCTGATGCTGATGCTGATGCTGATGCTGATGCTGATGCTGATGCTGATGCTGATGACGATGGTGATGATGATGATGATGATGATGATGATGATGATGATGATGATGATGATGATGTTGTTGATGCTGTTGCTGATGATGATGCTGCTGATGCTGGTGGTGATGCTGATGATGTTGCTGATGCTGATGATGTTGCTGATGCTGGTGCTGATGCTGATGCGGATGCGGATGCCGCTGCTGTTGTTGATGATGATGCTGATGATGATGATGATGGCGATGGTCAAGGTGATGGTGGTGATGATGAATACGACGACCGGTGATGATGATGCTGCTGATGATGATGTTGATGATGTTGATGATGGTGGTAATTGATGGTCGATGATCGATGAGCCTGATGCGATGGTAGTAGTGATGATCATGATGATGATGGTGATGATGATGATGCTGATGCTGATGATGATGATGATGATGATGATGATGATGATGGTGATGATGATGATGATGTTGCTGATGATGATGATTGTGTTGCTGATGCTGCTGCTGATGCTGATGATGTTGCTGATGCTGGTGATGTTGCTGATGCTGGTGCTGATGCTGATGCTGATGCGGATGCCGATGCTGTTGCTGATGATGATGCTGATGATGATTATGGCGATGGTCAAGGTGATGGTGGTGATGATGAATACGACGTCCGGTGATGCTGCTGATGATGATGATGATGTTGATGATGTTGATGATGGTGGTAATTGATGGTCGATGATCGATGAGCCTGATGCGATGGTGGTAGTGATGATCATGATGATGATGATGATGATGGTGATGATGATGATGATGCTGATGCTGATGATGATGCTGAT